TCCCCACATGTTCAGAGACATCTTGGGGTAAGCCTAATCAGAAGACCACCTTTTGGACCATACGACCCATCGGTAGTCGAAAAGACACGAGAAAGTTGATGAATGGGTCTCGTATGTCCGAAACAGCAAAAATCGATAAAACGCTCGTGTCGTGAATGTGTTAGGAAAACCTAGAAACGAGATTGCGTTTATAAGCCGTTGACCGCATCAAAAGCGGGATTCACGTCGACGAAGATACGTGCGCGCCGCGCTAGCATCCACAACTAATACTGCTTTTGCGCCTTCGTCTGACAATGCTTTGAAAACAGAGCGTCAGCAGGTAGGCCATCTAACATCGGAAGATACACCGAATTTTCTTGAGGATTTACCTTGGCATCCTTTCCCCTGCAAATAATCCTTGTCCCTGCGTCACCAACAGCAAGAAGATGAATCATGAAAAGCAAGCGCAAAATTGAGTGTTGCATAAGTGTCATTCTGGAATAAGCTGTTGAAATTGATGGAGGCCCATCCATGCTGCATAATAACCTCAACAAAAAATACACCTGGAGCGGATCTTTCAGAGGAGAAAAAAAAGAAAAATCTCAAAAAAGGCATTTTCTTGGAATTTCAAAAATGCTGGAAAAGTGGGTTTCTCTTTGCAAAATTTTCTCCCAGAAAAATGCCGTGAAATCCAAAATTCATTTCACAACCAACCATCGCTATACAATGAGGAGATTTCGCGCGAACCTTGTATATCTAAGAGTAAATTAAACACCCTCAACCCCAAAATCCTATATGGAGAAATGTTTTGGAATTTTTCGGACTAGAAAATCTCTCTCTGAGTAGATACAATTCAACAAAAGTAAAAATCTACAACAGTCACAGCCACAAAAACATGCACCATGTGGCCAAACTTTGCTGTTTGTAATAGTTTTTATTGCGCTCAAAAAATGGTTTTGAAAACGAGTTATCTTGGTCAGAAGTTAAAATTCACCCATGATCAGCCTTCCGATCGCGTTTTTTCAAATTTCTCAATTTTTTTTCGGGCAAAATCAACGAAATTGAGAGCCGTTCTGAACAATGATATGGCGTTAGTTTCACACACAGAACAGTGGCTCTTCAAACATTTTTATCTAAGACAGGATAAATTGCCGCAATTTTCTGGGGTGGCTTTATAGCTGTGGCCAGCACTGTATAAGGCTAGCAGCCCACGGGTAGATAGCAAGTGGGTTGGCTGATACGTTCTGAGTACTTCAAGATATCATCCCTAGTGTAGCACAATTAGTGTGAGCCAAACTGAGACTGAGTCTTTAATATGGGACTCACTGCTTGAAAAGCGTTAAATTTTCTCTTCCAACGAAACTATTGACTTGCTCATTGCCTTCTTAAAAGCGTAGGTACGTAAAAATTCTCAACCTCAACAATGTTCTAATATGGCTGGTGTTATGTCCAGCAAGATCAAAACTCGCCCATTCCGTACTTTCTGGGACGCAGTCAGGTTTTTCCAGAGTAAATGCCAGCAAAAGCAGGATCCACCAGGCGATAATCTCCAACACACTTCCTTTGGCAGAATGTGTCTCTTGAAGCCCTTCAGGATTCACCTACGGAGACCAAAGCCCGCAAATAATTTTCTTTTTCGAGGCAACGTTCTTTCAGAATAAATGTTTCCAAAGGATTATTCAGTCAGATGGCGAGAACTCCCTGAGAAAAGGAGGTGAAATGTCCTATCTGGAAGCGGCACCAATAGCCGTATTCATCAACGAACCCAGTGGGTTCCGCTACTCAGTGGGTAAGCGAAAATAGTCACGCAGGGTTGAATCGATATTCACAAAAAGCATTACTGGGTACGCGAACCCACTAGTTTCGTGAATACCGATCTCGTGGTCAAGCCTACCCATTGGGTTCCGGAACCACTGGCGTCGTTGATGACGGCTACAGGGCTCGCTCATAATTTTCTATCTACTCAGATTGTGGGGGGTAAGCGGCCATGCGATATAGGCAAGAGGGCACAGGGAAAATACAGGGTGTCCCAAAAGTATGTATACTCTGTTTGGTCGTTAATATCTCTCTCAGGGCTGGCACGAGTCGGTTCTTAGGGTTTCTGAAAACGAAGTCTCCCTTGACTTTCGGAAGTTTTACGAAGTCCCTTTTGACCTACCTGCTTGGGAGAAGACTAGTCTGAAAGAAAAAAAAAGTGAGGTAAGAGTGAAAATCCAAATTGGAGCTGAATACTACGCATGCGCAAGACTTTGGCATTAGAGCGCAATATTTAAGAAAGCGAGAAGAAATGAAGGCAAAAACAAAGGAAAGGCAATGATGTGAAAATGTCTTCATGCTCAGTGATAGATTTTTGACCGGGGAATCCGTCCATGTAAAAAGATCCGAAACTTATGTGAAGTGACAAAAATATATGCTCCAGACGATCTCAGATCGTCTGATGGCCGTCTGGAGACGATCTAAATTTGGAAAGGATACTACTTCACATAAGTTTTGAAATCCTTTTACATAATCCTTTCGCAAATTATTTTCTATACATACAGTTCAATTTTGGTGTCATATGCTTCTGTGTGCGCTGTAAACAAGCAATTGTTTATTTTAGCCTTGCTTTCAAATCGCGCGCACTTTTCGCCATGCACGATGGAGCACGTCATTCGTGTGATAACCTGTTCGAAAAACTTGTATTCGAGTAAATGGCGCTTATTCTTGGTGCCCGGTTCCGACTCGTCAAAAACGACATCTGCTTTGCTGCTTGCTTCAAAAACCAAGTCCAGCCTGCTTCCAGACGATCTGTGCCGGGCCCTGATCTCTCTCCCTAAGAAGTCTTTTACCTAATTTAAAGTACCATTATGTAGAGCTGGCTTCAACTTAGATTTACAGTATGGAGCGAACCGCCGATTCCTCTTTCTTACTGTAGGATCACGGTAGGAACTTTTCAATTACAGCATCATTATAAATTAGTCATACTTCGAAAAAAGCTTCCAAGAATTCTGAAAAGTGGTGTATAAGAGTTCTACGCGCGCTGATTTCACTACTCAACTTCTGTAGAACTTTTCAAATAGATCACAATTTTAGGGAACATTGTAAAGGCGGCTTGTTGAGTAAATGAGGAAAATTCGGAGTCGTGTTAGATTCTCTGCGCACAACTGAAGTGCAGATGAAGCACTTTGATTTCGACGTTGCTACTGCGTCTTTACAAGTCTGACAACTTTTACATAAGTACATCGTCATGCAAACAGAGTGTTCAACTTTTGACCAAAAGTTTTCGCTCGTCAGAAATCGGGTTTTGTGGTTCAAAGCGTGCTTACGACTCTGATAAGCTTGAGGTTCGCTCATCAATAACAGCGACTACGCAAAAATGACTCAAGCCCTCCACCGCGTTCACTGCAAAGGCTTAACAAATCCTAGTACCTTTAACAAAATTAAACGTGCCTGGAAACTCAGGAAACTAGCACTTTCTCGAAAATGTGACTTTTTAAGCATTTTAGAGCAAAAAAGTAACATAGATTTTCTTTATAAAGGGAGACAAATCCCAATGTAACAAATCTTATATATAAAGCTGAGTGTCTGTTTGTATGTATGTCTGTCTGTCTGTCTGTCTGTCTGTATGTATGTCTGTGTGTACGTATGTTCCGAATAGAAAATTCCATTTCTGAACCGATCCGGACCAAACTTGGCACACATACACTTCGGGCCCCGGCGGGTGTCATAGGCTACTTTTCGTATCGATCGATATCGATTTTATCGATTTTTTGCAAAATTTGAGCTACGGGGCTGGGATTTGGCACAGGGGTAATCGAGCATGCTGATTACTAACACGGGGGGGGAAGGAGTAGAAAATTGCATGTAGAAGTGGGACAAAGAAAGGTTGTACAGGGAATGGAATGGAACTTCATCAAAGTTCATCTTCATCACGGTTTCGAAAACTAATATTGTATTCGTAATCAGCATGCTCACTTACCCCCCTGTGCCAACTCCCCGCCCCGTAGCTCAAATTTTGCAAAAAATCGATAAAATCGACATCGATCGATAACGAAAAGTGGACTGTGACACCCGCCGGGGCCCGAAGGGTATGTGTGCCAAGTTTGGTCCGGATCGGTTAAGAAATGAATTTTCTATTGGGAACATACGGCGGAGCCGGGTAAGCCAGCTAGTGTTTCATATTTTGATGTTATAACCGTACAAAAAAAGTTCTAGGTTTGAAGAATGTAGTACCCTGTTTTCAGGTGTATAAGCCGCACCCTTTTCGCTCTAAAGGCGAACACGCCAAAAGACTGATTGTCATCATGGAGCGCGTTAAGTGAGAGCAGTGTGCGATCAGGGCCCGGCACAGATCGTCTAGAAGCAGGCTGGACTTCGTTTTTGGAGCAAAAATCAAAGGGATATCGTTTTTGACGAGTCGGAGCCCAACAACAAGAATAAGCGCCATTTAGTCGAATACAAGCTTTTCGGACAAGTTATCACACGATTGACATGCTCTATCGTGTATGGCGAAAAGTGCGCGCGATTTGAAAGCAAGGCTAAAATAAACAAATTGCTTGTTTACAGCGCACACAGAATCATATGACACCAAAACTGAACTGTATGTATAGAAAATTATTTGCGGGAGAATTATGTGAAAAGATTTGAAAACTTATGTGAAGTAATACGTTTTCCAAAATTAGATCGTCTCCAGACGGCCACCAGACGATCTGAGATCGTCTGGAGCATATATTTCCTCCACTTCACATAAGTTTTGGATCTTTTCAGCATGGACGGATGCCCCGGTCAAAAATCTATCCCTGAGCATAGGAACATTTTCACGTCACCTTCTGTCCTCGTTTTTTAACATCTTTTTTTCGAAATTTGCCATGTTAGATATCGCGCTCTACGGCCACATTCGCGTTGCTCTGAGCGAAATTTTGATCGCTTGGTCGCTTTGCTGTAAACTGTTTCCTTCATCTGTTCGTTGTCGTTCTTCGTTCTTCGTTCTATCGATATAAGAAATGTTGCACTTATGTTATTTCGAACAACACTAGGTACCGGTTTCAGGCTCCAACTTCACCGTGTTTTGGCTGCGAGATTATACCGATTACTATTGGGGAGTCGGTGTCAATGACTTCGATTTCTACTTCGATGCAATGAGTATTCTGATGGGAAAGAGTTTGGATATAAGAAGCTGCCTGGTTTCTTGGCAAATCCGCTTTACAAGCATCATAAGGCTTTCCTCCGTCGATTACATTAAGACGTGAGTGGTTTTTTAGTTATTTTTTTTCATTTTGAAGGAATTTCACGTTGTTCTTCTAAACTTTGACTAATTTTGCATTTCTGTTACGCTTTTCCTAGCCAACCATATCTGTTACTGTGCTATGATCGCTTTCTATGCTTTCTTTGATCTTGTCAAATAACCATGGCATTGCTATCTAACAACGAAATGAAAAGCTGTCTATCGTATTGGATGCGGATGAACAGTGGAATTCAGTAGTTTAGAATGCCACAGCTGCCGCTGATCTTGGATTGCTTATGGGGGATGGCGAGCTTGAACAGCTTCTTCAACGTTATGCACAATTTTGTGATCGCCATCTTTCGATGCCTCCCGCCATTGACGAAAACGAGGTTCGTTTTGGACTCAGTTTGATTAAAATGGATATCATGCTGTTATAGGTCACTATCGCTATGAGAACGTTGTCAAATTCTGTGTCAATACCTGTTCTCGATGAGCTTTCCAAATGGGACTTTTTCGATCAGTACTTTCCTAGAGAGCCACTCATTGTCAAAGGTTTGATTAGACATTGGCCTGCTGTCAAGAACTGGAGGTATGACCGCTGGGTTTTGCTTGATCACTTTTTTTTCTATTGCTCACGTGTGTTTAGTTTCACCCACCTTCATAAAATTCTATGTCATCGTGTATTGCCCGTAGAACAAGCCTCAAAGTACACGGATTCAAACTGGGCTCAAATGCTCATAACAGGTTCGCAGTTCTTCACCACTTGTACGCTTCCAATGGATGAGGTGCGCTACACTCCGCTTTTCATCCATATTTCATTTTCAGTTTCATTTTCAGAAGGGTCCGTTTGTTCCAACAAGTGCCTGAACTTCGAGTGGACATTTCTCTTTCACTATATTGTGATCACTGTGCGATAACCGATAAAGTGTTAAAGGACATGTGCTCTTCTGTAATTTCATCTTTCGCAGTTTGATGAAGTAGAGAAGAACTGCTGGATTGGTCGTGGAGGCACTATATCACCTCTTCATACAGATCCACGAGAGAACATGTTTTCACAGGTAAATTGTTTGGGAGTGACGGCCTTTTTTCAAAGATTATCTCTTTATTATGACTAACTGCATTAGTAACATTACTTCCTAGATTGCTGGGCTCAAGTTTTTCCGCCTATTATCATTGAAGTTTAACAGATGGTCCTGGAGAAGATAGTACTCCGTTGTTTATGCTGTACTTTTTGACTTCAAAAAAATGTACCTGCGGCTAAGGAGTAGAGAGTGCTATCACTGCTTAGTATTACTGGACGGAACTTGGAGTAAGTTGTTTTTGTTGAAATATATGCATCCATCAAATATGGCTTGATGGTACCTTTTCAGTCAATGTTAGCATCACAAGTGCCTCAAATACTTGCGGCTGTTTTTGAATGCACGCTAGAGATGATCAACAAAGACATGGAAGTACGCATATAGTGCTTTTAGAAATCTTGTAGCCCCTTGTTTTTTCTTTTCAGTGATTTTTTCATTTCTAGGCGTTCCCAGAGCATCGCACGAACTTCTTCCAACTTATTCATGCGCTCACTGTGGAATGTTTTCCCGGTTCTCCTTGCGTTGCCTCAGGAACAACTCAGTCACATCATTGATGCTGTTGTGTGAGCATTCCAGCATTCGATGCGCAACGTTGCTGAAATTGGTAAGTTTGACTAATTTGCTTTAGGTTTCCAGTTTCGAAAATCTGCACTTTGCAGGTCTCGACATCCTGAAGGATATGCCAAATCGAGTAGAACTCTTCCATGTGATCAGTCACAGCCATTTTATAAACGATTTTACGTGCAAATCCTTCTACATGTGCTAGCAGTTATTGCGGATAGCAGTCAGGTCCATGTAGCTGCTGAATCCTTTCATTTCTCATCTCTTTTTGATACTATTGTTGAAGATTATGAATACTGCTTCAGTCCCTTGGCCGCTTTTTGTCAATTTTTTTTCTAATCTAGTGATGATTTTTATTCTGCATTGATTATGTGTTGCAAAGCAGTAATGAAACTTATGACGCCATTTTATTTTAGCGGTTGAAGATTTTTCTTGCAGGCTTGACTTACTGTGCCGAAGTGTTATGTAGGCTATTCAAAGCATGTGAATTTCTGATCACTGTGTTTCTCAACGATGAGAATCTTAAACAAAGCAACGTCGATTACATCTATGAGTACATCGCTAGCATATTTGTGCAGCATTTCACTAATCTTACCGAACGAGTGTTTTTTTTGCATGCCGCAGTTGCCTTTTGATTTCTCTCATATATCTCATATATCATTTGCAATGAAGTATGCAATTTTAGAGAGAGACAGATCGTTTTTTGTTCAAATATAAAATTTGTAATCGAGTCAGCAGCGCAGCAAAAATCCAGTTCGTAGCGTCCTCGCCACGAACGGGAGGGGGGGGGAACAAGGGTCAAAGAGGACTTCGTAAAATTTCCGAAAATCAGGGGGGACTTCGTTTTCAAAAAGCCTAGAAACGGACTCGTGCCGGACCCTGTGTGCGACAAGGCGACGGCTTCGCGAGATATACGCGCGGCGGCACGCCTGGCTCTGATTGCGTTTAGAGCAAAAAGGGTGCTTCTTATACACCTGAAAATAGGGTATTACATGGAAACAAGAGGTGCCCTTATAGTGTGATCAGGCTTTCGGAACAGGTTTTTCAAATTTTTTGATTTTTCTTTGGGCGAAATCAATGAAATTGAAAGCCGTTCTAATCGACGATACAGCGTTGGTTTACACAGAGATTAGTGGTTTTGCAGACAATTTTTTCTCGAACAGGGCAAATTGCCGTGATTTAGGGTGGCTCTATAGCTGTGGCCAGCACTGTATGTAAAGCTAAATGCCAATTCGTTTCTATTTCTGCGTAAAAGTCTGTGTATACGTGTGGGCTGTATCACCCGGAATCGGTTGGCATGGGGGTGATGCCGAACGAAAACATGGTGGGGGAGGGTACTGGCATGTAGAGGTGGTATAGGACCAGCAGGGCGGTCCCAGGATTTCCGTCTAGGGGGGGGGGCAGAAAAAAATTTTCAAACAAAGGTGCGTGGCGCTAGCCACGCACTCCGAAAAATTTTTGGGGATGCTTCTCAAAATTCGGGCCCAAGACCTCTAAACGCCCCCGAAAAGTTTTTTCGGGGGCGTTTAGAAAATCAGCAGGTCGCATAACCTCTACGAGCAAGTTTTCCGATATGTTCGGGTTATTCCATTTTTTCTCGTTTTACGCTCCGGAAGCTCGCCGATGATTTTGGTCAAAATGTTGATGCTCTTAAATTGTAAGGAAACTTCGCTTATAGAGGTTTACGAACACGCTCTTTACGAAAATCGTGGTCTTCGAGGATTACAGGGTCTTTTTGGAGATATACGGTGAGGTAACTGTAACTGCATCACGAAAGTCCGTAAATTTGGCCGCACTTCTCGCGTATCTGTCAGAAACCTTGCCTGCTTGCTTTTCTCAGCCAAAGTTACTAGGAATTGTGCTATCGAATGATGCATTACTCAAGCTCCATTCTGTGAAATTCGCCGTGTTACAAGCCTACGAAAAACGTCCTCATGAATTTTGCCAAAATGTAAAGATCGCCTATTTCGTCGAAATTTCTCCGTGAGCGGTTGTACAACGCGCTGATCAAACCTTTCATATTTTTAATGGATCTTATTGTGTTAGATTGGGTAGCTTGAGCTCTAGCCACGAAATAGCTTTGATATTCAATTAAGCAGCTGAAGCAAACGCAAGCACATTATTCAGTACAGTGGGAGTCGTTCGACGAAGCGAACATAATATTTGCAACGAGCGATCTTTACATTTTGGGCAACATGAGGAAGTGTTTTCGTAGGCTCGTAACAGGGCGATTTTTGTAGAGTGGAGTCTGAGCCGTGCACCATTCGATGGCACAGTTCCCAGTAAATTCAATCTATAAAAGCAAGCGGGCAAATTTTCTGACAGGTACGCGTTAAGTGCGGCCAGAGTTACGCACTTTCGTGATGCAGTTACAGTCACCTCACCGTATCTCTCCAAAATGACCCTGCAATCCTCAAAGACCACGATTTTCGTAAAGAGCGTGTTCGTAAACCTCTATAAGCGAAGTTTCCTTACAATTCAAGAGCATCAACATTTTGACCAAAATCCATCGGCGAGCTTCCGGAGCGTAAAACGAGAAAAAATGGAATAACCCGAACTCAGAAAACTTGCTCGTAGAGGTTATGCGACCTGCTGATTTCGAAACACATCTGCTTAGCATGATAGCTTGGTATCCTGCGGCTATGGCGAGTAGAACTTGGGACGACAAGATTTTCCCACAATTCACCAGCCGTTCTATTTCCTTTGAAAAGAAACCTGCGGCTACTGTCCTCAGAAAGATTCAAGAATACTGAAATCGAAATATCAAGGACATGCTGTATATAGGAAGTTTCGCCTTGACGAGCTGAGCAAGGCGCTGTTTTCGGATTCAAAATATACTTATTCCGAAGGAAGTTATGGCGAGTAGAATTTAAAAACGCGTGATTTTTCCAAAATTCACCAACGCTTCTATCTCCTTTGAAAAGAAGTCTGAGCCTATTTTTTAGAGCACAATAATCTACAAGAACAGTATCATCGAATAGTACTCAGTGAAGTCTTCTATGTTGGGTAGGCGTTGCTTCACATATTCGCGAATGGACCTCCGTAGAACAAATTGAAAAAACTGGAAACGGAATATCGAAGACTCGTACCCCCACTTCCAATACATCAGAAGATTCTCCGCGCCGAGTTAAATCGAATGGTGGCTTTGGATTCAGAATTCGTCCACTCTGAAGCGAGATATGGCCACGCGACCGTGATGTCCATACATGTATTGACATGTATGGACATCAATGTCGCTACATGTCCGTACATGTATGGACATGTCCGTACATGTCCATACATGTCCATACATTCGCGTCAAAAATTATCAGAAAAATGTGAAAAATTGTGTAATAGGTTTTCCATGGACGCTAAGTTAATGTCTCAATTATGTACAAGATTACAAAGCTTTCTAGACGATGTAACCGCAATTCTTGGGAACATTGGAAAAACGGCCGGTACTGCTTACCTTGCAAACTTTTGAATGAAGCATTATCAAATCAGCAACTCTGGTAAGCACAGTGTGAAAGTTTTCAGGTTGTTTTGTTTGCTTTCTTAGGTAAAGTATGGCCTTTTGTTACTCAAAACCCTCTTCAAAGTTCCTACCGTAATTTTACAGTAGTGAAGGGCAATCGATGACTCGCTCCACTGAAAATCTAAGTTGAAGCAGCTCTACAAGATGGCACGCAAAGTTTCTCGAAAGACTTTATCACAAATGAGCTATTAACAATCAAACAGTAGGCACATTTTTTTGGGACACTCTGTATATAGCCTTGAATGATGGTACAAATCTTGGTTGTACTTCTTTGATGTGCTTTATTCTGCGTACCTGCCTATAAATGAATGATATATCTATACTATAGTTAGAACCGAATATTCGTGTTCGAATAATTTATTCGAAATATTCGACTATTCGAATATTCGAATAGTCGAAATATTCGAGACAGTCCAATTAGTCGATTATTCGAATAGTCGAATAAATGAAAAAGGCCTGTATTCGAATAATTCGTTCATTCGATGTTTTGGAAAAATGAGTTATTCGAATATTCGTTTATTCGAGGAATTTTAAAAGACGGTTATTCGAATATTCGAATATTTAAGAGCATTCATTCGAACATTCGATGTCAAAAGAAAACTTTAGCTGTTTTACGCTGAATACAAATATGTCCCCGATCGGTCAATCACACAAATGAATCATCAAATGACAGAATGGCTAGCAAGCTTCCCTTTTCAAGGCATGAGTCGCGAGACATGCCAGAGCATAGTGATGACAAGCCTTATGCATAATTCATTTGGAGTGGTGAACTATCTTCTGGGAATCGCGTCTGAGAGTTGATACATGTAATCACGCGCAGATACCTCCAAGCTCTAAATTGGGTGAAGAAGCAAAGCCATCATTAGGCGCCCTTCAGCGCACCACTGGTCCTCAAACAGCTTGCATAAGCATGTGAAGGACCAGCAATCCTTTAAGGCAGCAGGTATAGGCAACATTCTATCCTTCATCTCGAGGTCTTCATTTGCCTTGCCAGCCTAATCACCGCTGTGTGTCAAAATACTTTGAAGATACGTTACAGCGCAAGGCCAGAGCAAGGCGGTCGTGAGGACCTGAGCCGCTTGATCTGTGGCGGCAGCCTATATGTCAGTCAGTATACTCAAATCAGCTGTCCTTATAGTCAGGAGGCGTAGATAACTAATGTTAGAATTACACCCTACACGAAGTACGCGTATAGGTGCGTGTAGGCATGTAGTGTTATACGCCTACTCGAAGTATTATCCTATTAAGGGATCCTCCATATCTTTTACTCAGGTTCAAAATAATTATTGTTCAACCTACACGCCGAGTAGGCGTGTAGGTTGAACAATAATTATTTTGAACCTGAGTAAAAGATATGGAGGATCCCTTACAACAAAAGTACAAACCTTAAAAATACAGCTAAAACAGCTTTGTGAGAATTCAATCCTACAGCAGAAACTGTGAAACTCGGGGATTGATAATCCCCGACAAGTATTAGATTATCAGCTAATATGCAGATGTTTCCACGAGTTTCCTTTTCGGATTTCGATGGGCACAGAAGTATTAGGTTGTCCTGGAAGTTTTGTCCGTTTTTTATCATCGCTCACTAGAACTCAGAGAACACCGATCCATGATCAGCTTAGGTACGATTTAATACAGATTTTTATCTTCTTTCTTACAGCTGTATTTGCTCTCTGATCTACTCTGTCTTTGCAATGTTGAAACCAGCTTCCTGAGCAGCTCAGAAGTAACGCCAAATTTTTACTGAGTTTCAAAAATGATGTTATCCTGATGTTTTCAAAGAGCGCTGATGAATGTCATGTAGAGCAAGCCTTTGGCTACATTGTACCCATTTTAGATTACATGGGCCATGTTTACCAATTTCCTTATAATTATTTGTTTGATAAAAACTGCGCCTTTTTGATTACTTTTACCACGTATGTAAAAGTACCGAAAATTCCAAGAAGCTGCTTTTTCAAAGCAAATCAAACTTGGTTATGTAGCATAAATAATGCTTGATAAGATATTTTAATTCGCAAAAGTTTCAAAAGCTTTCATGTATCTGCTGCAGTTGCGTGTTTCATGACTTCGCCAGAAATCGAGACTTTCGAAGATATAATGTTTTTGAAGCTAAAAATAGCAAATTAAGAGAATCCAAAATATTACCTTGTATTTATAATTGCTCTGTTTGGTCCATACTTAGTCCTTTCCGAAACTTTGGAATGAAATTTAGAAAAAGTAGCCTAACTTTGAGCAGCTAAAATTGACGGATGGAGAATTTTGGCAATTATTAAAGAAAGCATACAAGATTGTGGTTCGAAAATGTATTCTTAAAAAAGAGAAGGAAAAGCTGCATCGAATGCTGAAATTCATTCAGGTCTTTATTGAGCGTGGTTTTATACTGGTATGAAAAAAAGGATAAAACTTTCGGGACAATAGCAGAAGTTCATTGATTAAATTAATGTAGGCCTTCCTCGTGCCCCTCCAGTGCTATTCTTAGAACTCACGCAATGCTGACCATTACGATTAAATTACAAAGGACTACCTAATCTAAAATGTTTTCCATGTTGAATCTTCAGCTTTGGGAAGAAGTTCTGTGTAGCTTCGGAAGAAAGTTCTGTGAGGAAAAATAAATGCGGACTGAAACGATTACTAAGGGAACGGCCATAGGTTGTCGGTGTTGTCGGTGTTGTCGGTATTGTCTAGGTCAGAGACAGTTTAGAGAGCGCGCGAAAGGTGGAGGCTATCATGAGGTCCTACAACGACCGGAAACCTCGGCAACCCCGACAACCCCGACAACATCGACAAAACCGACAACCTATGGCCGTTCCCTAAGTAAGGCTTACTGGCCATCTCAAAAGACCATGAACTCCTCGAACTACATGTTTGAGTGAAGTTCTTCTGTTTCCTGAGTGGAACCCTAACCAAAGACAATAACCCAGTCATCCTACCACTTGCTACACATATAATTATCAGCTACAAAGATCAAATATAGCGATGAATTTTTTTGCAGAAAATCGCAACAAAGAAAAAAACCAGCATTGTTTGAGGTGTCAGATTATTCGAATTATTCGAATAGTCGAATATTCGATCATATGTGATTATTCGATTATTCGAATAGTCGAATGTTCGACCAACCCCATTTATTCGAATATTCGTTCATTCGAATTTTGAAATGTAGCATTATTCGAATATTCGAATTCGAATAATCTAAAAATTACAGATCGAATGATATTCGTTCGTTCGAATATTTTTCAAAAGCCGATTATTCGAAATTCATTCGTTCGACGAAATTTTTTGGTCGTTCTAAGTATAATATATACCACTCTTCATCCAGGCATTAGCGGTCATTCGTGGATTTATGGTTACTACTTTGCCTACTAGATGCCCCGTGAGTGCATTTGTTTGATTGCTCTGTAATAAAATTAGCCAAATAATCTAATGGCAAACGAAGGCGAGTTTGCATAAATTCATTTGCGGCTAAAAAAAGCGATCAGCTGCCCTAGAAAATCACTGAAAGCGTACTACAGATCCCTTCTACGGCTATGATCAACATTTTATCGCTGTTGCTATTCTGGCTCCAATGTTTTAGCAAAGGTGAGATTCACTAAGTTCAGCTATTATTATTGCTTATGCTTCTAGGAAATGCCAACTACGCTTCTAAGGCCCACGAGGTTTTTGAGAAAATATTTGTAGGGTATAATAGGCATATAAGACCAGTTCGAAATTTGTCTATAACTACAGTGGTTTTCATGGACAATAGCTTGCGATCTATCCTCCACACCGTCAGTCCTCCATCCACTCAGAAGGGAAGTCTGAACTACATATAAGTTAAGGATGAAGTTAACCAAGTGCTGGTGCTGAAGGAATGGTTGAGAATGTTTTGGAGAGACGAGTTCCTTACTTGGAACCCAGCGGACTACGACAATATCACCGAGATCAAAGTTCCAAGAAGTTTGATTTGGCTACCTGACGTTATAAGAATCGATGTGTGGGTCCTCCCCTAAAATGGAAAAGTCAAAACTTTGATTTTTTGTAGGCTAGACCAATCCCAACTTATGGACGACGACCGCAGTTTTGTACTATTAGACCATACAGGCTTCATCAGACATTCAGTGGATCATGTGCTTAAAGTGTTTTGCAACTATAAAATCACTATGTGAAGCAATTTTTGCAAAACCCGCCAGAGATCGTCCATTTGCAAACGATTCAGGTTTCCCTTTGATCAACAAAATTGCACTATCCACTATGAGCCATGGCATTCCACTTTAAAGGAGGTTTTTATCGAAGTGCATCCCGAACCTGACATCAATAATTATCGTCCCAGTAATGGTGAATTATTGTTCTTCTTTCTAGACTGTCACATTATAATTAACTCTTACTTAAACAATGATCTTACTTTGGCTTTTGAAACTACCAACTGAAAAAAGAAGAAGCTGAAAGAGAGTATACGGATACGTTTCCGCTCACCTACAGGAAAGCGTATTTCAGAATGGGACCTAATTTCCTACAAATCCCGAACAGGCATTGGTTCATACCCTCCTATCCTATCCGACTCCACCTCTCGTGCTTATTATGATATTGTTATCAAGAGAAGGTAAGACTCTAAGTTAAAAAAATTATTCAGGTTTTGAAAATGTTCTGGAATCCTGTCGAATTCTTTGCAAGCTTGTTGATAAGCACTTTACAAATTGTTAATTACTATAAAGTTTGAATTTATTGCAGCCTTTACAAGAAAAGCGAAATAATTTTGATTGACTGAAAAACTCCGAAAAATTTAGCTTAAGACTGAACAAAGCTGTCCCTTGCTCAATGATAGAACTATTCCGTAACTAATAGACATGAGAGTATTGGGCCAAAAATTGAGCCATTTTTTACTGCTCAGCAGTTTCTCCAAAGCAACGTTCAATTCGAAGTTGAAGCCAGTTTTAGCAAAGTTTAGTTTTTAAAGTTCTGATTATTTTACCAAAATGAATACAATCAAAGCATTTCCTATGCTATAATCGATGTTTACCCGAAAATATACTCCTCTAGTAAGTTTACCGGCTGTAATGTAAGTCCAAACAAATTGGTTTTCATTTTGAAAAGGATAAAGAAGAAATATGAGGGTGCAGAAGTGCTAGGAAAAATCTATGTTTATTTTGACTCCAGCGTAGTTAGATTCGTAAAAAAATTTCTGTCTCATTCAACTCAGAACCTACTTTTAGAAGCATCCTTTCATTATCTGCATTTCTACCTTTACATTTCAGGCCTCATTATTATGTAGCGTGCTTCATGCTGCCATGTTTTATTATCATGGAACTTTCATTACTTGGTAAGAAGTTAGCAACTTCCTTACTAAACGATAATATTTAGCAACACTGGTCTCATAAAAAATAAAGTTCTCAGGTCTTTTCTCTCCGTCAAATGATAGTGGCGAACACAACGAAAAAGTTACGATGGGACTTACAAGTCTGCTCTCAATGTCAGTGCTGCTGCTAATGATATCGGATAATCTGCCCAAGACCAATGACGGTTTGCCACTTTTGGGTGAGCATAATAAGAATAATGGCTTTTGTGAAAAGTAGCAGAATTATATAAATAGAAAAAAATCCACTTGAAAATGGTCAGTCATGACCGCACACGTCAGATACCAGGGCCGATAGTAATCTACCCTACCTGGTGGCATCATAGATGCCGGCAAGTTGGCACACATCGCGGAAAGATGCCAACTCCGCCGGCAGCTCGCGGAGTGATTGTAGGTTTCAATAATCCTAAGTAACCTTGGCACGCAATCATTTCGCACATTAAGTTTTGATGACGCAGACAGCCGCATGCTACCTTGCGCGCGGTCGAACCTATGTGCGTTAGCTTGAAGTGCCACCACGTTAACCATTCGGCCATTCGGTCAGCCATTGCCTTTTGCACCAGCAATAGGAGGAACGCACTGGTGAATGGCTGCCTATAAAAGGGATCGATACATTGCGTGAGAGACTTTGACCTGAAAGAACAGCTGATTGATATGAGCGAGAGAGGAGCGAAATCGGTGCAAACTGAGATTTATAAGGGATTGCCAAAACAGTTCGTGTTCTATATGATTCTAAGGCATTAGTGGATTTTTTCTCTGTAAGAAAATCGTCATTTTAAAAAAGAAAAACCCATATAATGAGAAAAATGATAGTTTTTTCATGAAAAGTAGAATTCTTGATTTTTTCGCCTGACGTGAATTGTGTGATATCGCCGCAATTCGCAAACTCGCAGACGCCGTCGGCAAAGGTGCCACCACCTCGACGTGGTAGGGGCACGTCGAGATGCCGGCAGCTCGCTCTCTCAAAAGAGCATGCTATTTCCCGTGCTCTCTGACCTGCCGGCAGCTGCCATCTCGCGGATTCCGGCAACCTGCCGGCAGGTTGCCGGCAACTGACATCGCGAAGTTGCCGGCAGCTCCTCCTGGAATTCCAGATATTTTACTAAAGGAGGAGTTCTGGAGCCGCAGATTTTTATGAAGTTTTCTACAGAGTCGAGGCGGCAACTTTATCAAGAAAATTTTTTGAAAAAAGGCCTGGGACGGCCTAAATTTCGGTTCTTAGTTGCTGGCACCTCGCGGAAAGGTGCCAGCAACCTGCCGACGAGACCTGCCGCCAGGTCGGGGGGATTACTACCGGCCCAGAGGCCACGAAATTACTAGCATTTTCTGAGGCAGCTACTGCAATATTGCCAAATCAAAAATTAGTCTTCAACTTCCGCAAAAAGACATCTTCTTGACAGATCGAGTAATGTTTGTAGTTCTATAGTTATTTTAATTCCTCACTTAGGGTTTTTCGTTCTCATGGAAATTCTTATTGGAGCGTTAGCAACTGCAACAACGGTCTACATATCACATCTGCAAAGTAAGCGAATTTGCGAAATTATTCACAATTATCAAATTATAATTATAAAATCATTCGATCAAAAGTCCGTATTTCAAGGCAGCTGGCGCCATGACAAAAAAGTACCAGATTGGCTTTTGGCGCTGGGCCATTTTCAAATTTTTGCGGGAAGATTGAAGCATATGGATTCGGAGAAATTTACGGAAGATTTCTGTCATACTGATTCGCTTCTCAAAAGGGTGAGCAGTTCTAATGACCCAGCATTCTCAATCTTATCAAGCTTATTTGTGGTAAACGACGGCATGAAACGTTGAACAGTCTTCCTGGAACTATTTGCTCGGAAAGGTAGAAAAAGAGCGGTACTCCACTCATATCTATAAGTTTTTTTAGAAATGAACTACCAAGAGTTAACATTTTTGATCATTTTTCAATAATCGTTGACATGAACCTTGAAAATTAAGAAAGAGAGGATTTCTGGAAACAAGAAAGGAAAAAGTCAGTAGCATTTAGAGACAGAAAGAATTCTGCAGCAAAATACCAGTTTGGGTAGGAAAATGGCCACGAACCGACAAAACATGGTAACGCGTTTTCGGTGGAAACGTTTCATCATCAATCACCACATTTTTCCAAACTCGATTGTTTCTATTAGGTCGTTCCGAAAGTAATGTCGCTATTTCCAAAAGTATGCCACATCTCGTGGAACAAAGTCTATAAGAGGTTCTACTAGAATTTGATGCAGCATTTCATTCTCCTTCTAATGGTTATGATGATGTTGCAATACAGTCAATGAGCTTCCAGAAAAAACAGTCAATCAAAATCTACGACCTATGCTTTTTGAGATGGCCATTCACAATTTTTATATAATTTTATAACAAACCTCAGAAGGAGTCCAAGTAATGGATGGATGGAGCAAACCCTACAGAAAAGAGCACAACTTTTTCTACTTTCCAGAGCTCGTCATGATTTTTGTACAGATTTTTTGATGGAACCACCGAATCTTAGCAGTCTCGTCTCAAACACAGTGCATCAAACGCCAACAAGTCTCCGGATTTTGAAGCTTACAAAGATGGATTATGGTTTGGCAACAATTTTACAAGCCAAACGAGCATTTACCGCTTCGGTTTAGCAACTTTCAAAAATTCCGGCTTCAGCCTGCGGCGCCGTCGAAAACATGAATTATGATGATTTTATCCCGGGAAACTTGGTCAATCGGAAACAAAAAACGACCGCTAGAAAGAGGAGAAAAAACTGCATCGAATGACACCCGAGTCGCTTGCCGATTGTGAGGTTTGACTTGACTAAATATGGAATTTGATGGCATTGAGAAATTGATTACAGAAACTCTAAGAAGCAAGCTAAGGCAAAGGAACAAATTACTCTGTGTCCTATGGGTTTTGCTCTATCTACTTGGCACTTGTACTTTTTTGGAGATTAGGTACAAAAATTTAGAAAAATAGCCGAACTTGACTATGGCAAAAAGCATGAGTCGCAGATTTTGGTAATTTTTCGAGAGCTCACTAAACATTATGCAGAGAAATTAGAACCATTAGAAAGAGGATGAAATGCTGCATCGAATGCTCCTAAGATCTTTTGAAAATGTTGATTTCACAAATAGTGGCGTTCATTCGAAAAAAGCGACATTACTTTCGGAACGACCTAATATAAAAAGAATTTACACTCTTTTGTCTGAACCTGAGTGTCCGGTCACAATTCATTGACTGCAGGACTCCATTGCAAGAAGTCAGATACTTGCACGAATTGGCAATTTTGAACAAAATGTGAGCATGATTTCAAGGAACCTGCAAAAGTGAGTTTTTTTCGTTCACTGAATTCTTCCTTATAGCCTCCAAAACATCCCTCTTTACCATTGCAAATTCAGGAAAGCAGCGCAGAAACGCCTACGGATGCGATGGGTCCATGTTTGCGAAAGAATTGATAGTTTACTACTCGTCGTTTTCCTCACAGTTAATACATTCTTTTTCGTATCTATCTTACTGACTGGATATCTTTCAAATTGAGATCATATTGTAACTGTCTGTCCCATATGGCTTTCATTATTCTAAAATAAACCGTCAGCAAGTGTCTCCTACGCATGGAAGTGGAAACTCGACAGTGACTTTTTTCAAGCGTAAATAGAGGCCAAGGATATTCCAGTCGAACTATCGCTACTCATTTCAGGGGGGGGGGGGAACCGGGCCTTTAGATCGGGGTTCAACGCACTGTCAAGCGCTCAGAGGTTGAGCTCATTGCAAGCGCGAGTAGAAGAATTTTAAAGTGATGTGGCCTGGTAATTGATCAAAGCCAGAGACATGGTTTGAAAGTTATTTTTTCAGCAGCTGAATAAAGCTTAATAACTGAGTCTGCTATGGTTGATGCCCGTATAAATGTTTGGAGAGTATGTGCTGTTACAAAACTTTGAGAATAATACATATTAGCGATTTTGAGAGAAGCGAGCTCTCAGATTGGGTGTGCTACAAATTCTGGAATGTGTTCAAAGAGTATGTACAGGATAGAATAATTAGTGAACGAAAGCGGTGTGATTGGTCGAACAGGTTACAACCCAAATTTAAGAAGCGATCACAAATATGATTTGTGTCTCTGTGGGATTAATATCTTTACCGAGATTACTTTCAAACTACTATGATCAGAAAGTAGTGTGACACTTTGATAACGATCGTAGCTTTTCAGGAAAAGGCATTCACTGGGCGCTTAAATTTTGATTTTGAGACAAAACGTACCAGTTACATAAATTGAGTAGAGGACGCCATCAAATCACAGTTTTATAGCATCGTCTCATTATAAAAGAACACTTGTTACTTCTCTGCTTATGAACACATTCTTAGTAACATATGAAAGAGCTTTTCAAGCTCTATTCATCCATATGCAAGTTACCTCGGTTTTCTTCTATCTTTGCAAATTGAAGGCCAAACATTTTTTGAGTTTTTATTGCTTTAAAATATTGCAATTTCTTAAGTTTATCGGAAGCTTTTTTGCTTCGTAAATCATTCGGAAAAGCTTGAACAGCTTATCCAAAATGTACGCTACTTTCCCACTGAAATTGTGGTATAGAAGCGCAACTACAAATAAGAGAAGTCCAAAGGACTCGGTAGACTTCCTTGAAACTCCAAGGATTCTAGGAGATTAGCGTAGCGTGGTGCCGGAATGATAGACGAAAGTCACTTGTATTGACGTATTAACCCATTGACGACGACGCCTAATTTTGCGCGGCGGCGCTGTGGGACGACGCGATTTTGCACAACACTTTCAGTGTGAGAAGGTTTCGTGCTTGTTTACGAAATGCAACACTGTTTTGTAAACAACCATTAACATTTTCTTGAACGACAGAGCCTATAGGTCCTAAGAATACAAAAAATTGGAAAAAATATTCATATGTGGAAAAAATACTAGACCTGCAAATAATACGACTTTGCGGGAGGTGTGGGCCACCGGGGGTCCACATCGTCCCTGGCTGCAAAAAGCGCGTAGGCCACCGGTGGTCCACATCGTCGTCAATGGGTTAGCTGATTCCTGATTACCAAAGATCAAAATAAAAAGTCCCAAGATCTAGAGTATTGCAGCTGTCCCAATCACTCTAACGAAATCGTGAGACTGATATCACGCTTTTGGGCATTGTTACCATTCCAGTTTCTTGGATTCTTTTGCAAAGATTTGCTTAGCCATAATTTTTATTTTTGGAGGAGTGCAGCGTGACTAAGAATCCTGAACAACTGATTCCTGGAGCATCTTCGCCATTTGGAGACTGACGATGTTTTTGTTGAGTCAACAGGATTGTCTGCGTATTAGTTCATTAAGTTAGCATTGTTGCTGTTTTCACCTTCTTTTCTGTCAATGCCTTCCGTAACGCTAAAATGGGCAAATAATTCTACTTCCAGCAAAATATGCTAGTGACTCAGGACGCCGCAGGGATGTTAGTGCATAATGGCTAACTAAGGGCCACATGCATTAACATCCCCGCTGGGGAGGGGATCGCAGCTTAGAAAGAAAGCTTCATATCCTAAAGCACCAGATATGTGGATTTCACGTTGTATACCTATCCGTAAGTATTCCTACCTTTCTTCACTACGAACTCATTGAACAGAAGCGAAAAGCTGTACAAGCCGCATTTTCTCGCATTTTGTATGATCCTCTGTTGATCCCCGGCTGCCGACCGTATTCTCTTCAAAGTCACTTTTCTTTCCTCGAAGTTAGCGAAAACCTTTCGAAGTGCGCTGTTTATCTAACATAACACGCTAAGCATGTTGGTAATGAGAACAAATAGTTTTTTGGGAAATCGAATGCTTATGGATAGGTAGGCAGCATAAGATCTAGATATCTGGAACTTTAGGGTATGAAGCTTTCTTTTGAGCTGCGATCCCCTCTCAGCGAAAATGTGAATGCATCCGGCCCTCAAAGTTCTTCATGTCAAAATGCGAATGTGCGCAACCAGAAACACAGATGTTCACATTGATGACTTATACTAGCTTGATTGTGCCATTTCCCCCATATTCGCTAAAAACTATTGACTACACCCTGCTCTATTACCACTTCGTCCGGTCTCTCGCGAGATCATCTGCAAGAATGCTAGCCCATTGACAAAAATGTCTCCACAAAACTTACTCCCACCCATGAAGTGGGTCTTTGCGCATGGACCGCGAATCTACCGCTGGGTAGATTTTGAACGCATCAACATGCTTTGTACACAAAGCTTTTCAAAAGCTCCTCAGATTTTTTACTATGGATATTCAGCACGAATGATTTTAAGCATTGTGTGGAAATTGACAATAAGTTTTTTGATTTCCCTTACATAAGTAGATGCCTTCGTTGAGAGAAGACTATGCCTTTCGAGAAATTTGCCTGCACTGCATCTGGGCAATATCCCCGTAGCCTTAAATAGTGCCACTTCTTGCTGCTTTTTCCTTCCATGCGTTACAATGCTTGATGCAAGATGTGAATCGATGTTTCATTGTTTTATTGTAGCCATTTTGACGTTCTTTATTCCAGTCAAAAGCGCTATCATTTCAACGTTTTTTTTCGTTTTATTCCAGTGTTACGGTAACCAATAAACCATTCTAGTGCTTCTAATGTCGTCGGAATATCATAATATTATCATTAATAATATACAACATCAGTTTTTTATAATTACCCGTTATTTATGTCGATTTTATCAATTTTTCGCAAATTTTGAGCTACGGGGCTGGGGGTGGCAGAGTGGAAGGGCGGAGGGGGGGGGGGGGGGGTAAGTGAGCATGCTGACTACTAACACAGCGGAAATACGGAGTTGGCATGTAGAAGTGGGCGCAGGGAAAGGTTGTGCAGGGATTGGGATGGACCCTTAATCATAGCGTTTCAGAGATAAAGGAGCTTTTCTTATGCAGGGCGTCCCATAACAAATGTGCGCACTGTTTGGTCGTTGGGAATACTCTTGATTCCATGTCTTTTGTCGAATTTTAGATACCATCCTGTACAGTTGGCTTCAGATTTTCAGTATTAAGCAAAGTACCAAGTGCTCTCCTTATAGTATGAAGTTCCAAATTGGTTGCAGTCGTATTTGCCTCAAAAAAGCTCTAAGCAAGCCAAAAAGTCTTATTAGGCTAATGAAAATTGCTAATTACAAAAATGAAATCTGCGCATCACGGTGCTGCTTCTTTCATAAGTTATTCCAGGTAAAGCGTAAAAATTGTTTTTCCAATGCTCCTCAAAATTGCAATCACACTACCAAATAGCTCGAAAAACTGTAAAAAGTTGTGTAATGGGATCAGCATGCAAATTGTAAAAAGTTGTGTAATAGGATCAGCATGCGTGAAAACCCTGGTACACAATTTTTCAAAATTTTCGAATTTCTTATATCAAGTCGCCCATCTCATAATGACGGTGTTGCTAGTAGTTCTTCTTACCGTAATCCCACGGTAACGAAGAGGAATAGATGTAAATCAAACTATAAATCCAAATTGAAGCAAGTTCTGCAGAACATTGCTTGAGGTACGAACGACATCTAAGCAAGAGGATTATTAACGATTAAACAGTGTGCACATTTTTTGGGACATCCTTCATCCTATCGTAAACCTACCGTATCTAAAAAGCGCGCTTGATTACACCAAAAGGCTCACAAAAGAAGTGCATCCTTTTTTGACATCAGTAGATATCCATCATTTCTAAAAGGTAATGGCGAGTTGGATCAGCTACAATAGCAGTCTGTATTTTGAAACTCATACCAGGTAGCTACTGTAACATAGCGGGCACAAAAAACTGCTGTCCTGCTTAATAGTAGCGTTTCCATGTATTCAAAAAGGATAAAATTGCAGACGAAAACCGGTATTGTTATTGTTACTAAATCCGCAGCAAATAAGAAAGGTAGATTTGAAATCAGTTTTAAACCCTCCAAGGCAGTACACATCTCATAGTGAAAGGCCACTTCGACTAACCTTCCTTTCCTCAGTGGCTTGAATCGATGAGGTGCCATCCAATCTGAAAAAAGTTTGCGCAACTCATCCGAATTCGTATCCAAAACGTCAATTTTCTTGTAATAGATCCATTTCGAGGCTCTAAGACTGTTCTGGTGTTCATAAGAGCTTTCACTCCAATCACCACTAAGGCTGCACTTTTTCTCCCCATCCGTCATATCTCTGAAAATTCTCAAACTCAACTAGTTTGCATACCGTCGTATAGAGGAAGTCTCGTTCTTTCAAATGAGCCTAATTGCAGACTCTTATAGTTGTCTGGCGGCCGAGTTACAAGCCTGCAAAGCGGTACATGTCAATGGTGAGGTGCAGGTGGGGTCATGTGCAAGCACTGCCAAGGGCCATTTACAGCGAAGAAACTCATCAGCACATATCCGATGCATAGAGGATGGCAAAGAGCATCTATTCTATCCAGACGGCTTTGTTTGGATGTCTTGAACAGGCTACCGTGTGAAGAAATTTGGCTTGATAAAGGGAATTAGAAGTTATTTTTTTGAAAAAAGCGAAAAAAAACTCAAGCTTGCGTTTTTTGGGGAAGCAACCATAACCTGTGTGTAGTT